CATATACATACTGCTAGTTTGCCACTGTATTAACCCTATACAGTTAACCTACATGCAGTAAAACTGTTTAACAATAAGCACTGACTCACATTTCTCTGCTGTGTAAATGTCACAGGTCAGCATTAACAATATGCTGTGTGCCTTCAACATTCTGGAGATGCCACAGTGATGACTTTTGGCATTAAATAAAAGCAGACTTTTGTCTCCAGAATAGCTGTGGTGTGACCTTGGATTATGTAACTCGATTAAACGTGTAATTTAATTTTGCAACTGTCATATGCACACAAACATTTACACAAACACACATGCCTGTGCACTAGAGCTGCACAATGTATCACTTGTTCATCGTTATTGAGATATTAACCCTAATAATAGTAATACTGATATCACAAAAGGTGTGCAGCATGAAAATGAGCCCCCAACCGATCCTAATGCTTCTTTTGTGTTTTTTTTTTTACTGTGTGCTGTGAGTCATCCAACAAAAGTAAATTATTTTGATCAAAATATACACAGCAAGCTGATCCTTAAAGGGGAATTCCACCAATTCTTCAAAATTTACTGTAATTCTGTTGTTACACTGCAAAAAAATGATCTTAAATCTAGTTGAAATATCTAACATTTCCCATTTTGAGATGATTGTGCACTTATTATAAGATGATCTGGCTTATTTCCAGAAATGTTTTACTTGTTTTAGGTCATTCTATTAATCATCTCACTATACTGGTAGATAATGTTGCTAGTTTCAAACACATTTCTTAAAACGTCAATATAGTGAGATAATTTTACTTGATAAAATTACTTAAAACAAGTAAAAAATGTCTAGAAATGTAATAAGAGCTATTATACTGAAAACTGCAGAGTCATTGGTGGTGACAGGAGCCAGAAGACCAAAGAGTTTCATGCCTCTAAAACCTCCCACAGCATGATGTTACACGTAATAATCATGAATGTGTCGTCTAAAGCCTGAGACACTATAAACAGTTTTATTATACTTTTGATAAAAGGTTTTAATCTAAATCATGCTTTTTAAAATACAGTCATGGTGAAAGGATGCATGCGGCTGTTGTGAGGTAAAATGGTTCCCAAAGAGAATGCATCTTTTTTTGTATTTACCACTATTTTATCATTATCAACATACCATATAAAACAGAAGACACGTGTGGGGTCCCTGGCGGTTTCGGATAGCAAATAAAAAGGCTATATTTGTGCTGTAGACATTAAAGAAATCTGACCTGGTATGTTTCTTCACAATGAAGCACTGAAACTCTGAATAACTTTGTTTTATGAATTATGCAGAAAATTTGAAAAACTGTTGAAATTCCTCTTTAATCCCACATTTTTGGTTCTCCAGTATATTTTCAAGACACTAAAATGCATATTTCAACTGTAAAATATAGCAACATAATAGCAATACTAATATATCATGAAGGCATAATATACACACCCTAAAATAGCTGATTCTAATTCAGTGTCCAGCCCGCTGCCTCCTCTTGAACAATAATGGACACGTTCTGCTACCTCCCCCAGCCTTCATTTGTTGACCTGCATTAAGCATTCATTCTCTATTAGTTCAATCGTGTTGGCAATTGCTGAGCTTGCTGGAGGGGACACACAGCCCCCGCACGTCCGGCCCTGCCCTGTTTGGAACAGCTAACAGCCAGCTAATCTGCTGCTGGGTGGACTACACAACCTCCTTCCTTTAGCTAATAATACAAACTCTCGCTGTGTCCGAAAGTGTCTCCTATCACTGATCCCTACACTGGAAAATCTGGAGCACTGCATAGAAGACAATAATAGGGAACAGAAGTGGTCCCCTAATCACTACACTCTATACTGGAGCACTACATAGAACACTATTATAGGGAACAGAAATGGTCCCCTAATCACTATACCCTATACTGGAGCACTATATAGAACACTACTGTAGGGGACAGAAATGGTCCCCTAATCACTATACCCTATACTGGAGCACTATATAGAACATTACTATAGGTAACAGAAATGGCCCCTAATCACTATAACCTATACTGGAGCACTATATAGAACACTACTGTAGGGGACAGAAATGGTCCCCTAATCACCTGTACTGGAGCACTATATGGAACACTATTATAGGGAACACGAATGATCCCCTAATCACTATTGCCTATACCGGAGCACTATATAGAACATTACTATAGGTAACAGAAATGGCCCCTAATCACTATAACCTATACTGGAGCACTATATAGAACAGTACTGTAGGGGACAGAAATGGCCCCATTCACTATACCCTATACTGGAGCACTATATAGAACATCATTATAGGGAACAGAAATGGTCCCCTAATCACTATACCCTATACTGGAGCACTATATAGAACATCATTATAGAGAACAGAAATGGCCCCCTAATCACCTGTACTGAAGCACTATTTAGAACACTATTATAGGGAACAGAAATGGTCCCCTGATCACTATATCCTATACTGGAGCACTATTTAGAACACTACTGTAGGGGACAGAAATGGCCCCATTCACTATACCCTATACTGGAGCACTATATAGAACATCATTATAGGGAACAGAAATGGCCCCCTAATCACTAAACTTTATACTGGAGCACTATATAGAACATTATTATAGGGAACAGAAATGGTCCCCTAATCACCTGTACTGAAGCACTATTTAGAACACTATTATAGGGAACAGAAATGGCCCCCTAATCACTATACTCTATACTGGAGCACTATATTGAACACTATTGTAGGGAACAGAAATGGTCCCCTAATCACTATACCCTATACTGGAGCACTACATAGAACACTACTGTAGGGAACAGAAATGGCCCCATTCACTATACCCTATACTGGAGCACTACATAGAACACTACTGTAGGGGACAGAAATGGCCCCATTCACTATACCCTATACTGGAGCACTACATAGAACACTACTGTAGGGGACAGAAATGGCCCCATTCACTATACCCTATACTGGAGCACTATATAGAAATGGCCTCCTATTCACTACACTCTATACTGGAAAATCAATTTCAAGTAAACAAATTCATAAACTAATGTCAGTGGGTTACATACCACAAAGCATTATGGGTATTCTATGTCCCCTAAGGTACATGGTTTGTACAGTACCAACTGCAGTGCTCTGTGTCACAGTTAGAGTGCACTGGATGTTTCCCACTGTTTTCAGCCACCATTACAAACTGGAGGACTTCTGTAATAATGTACTACTTAGTGAACTGTGCAGTTTTGGACACAGTCTTTGTCTTTTACCGTATCTCCTTTGCTTAATTCTGACTAAATAAGGTTTTCCACATATTTCTTGACAGCATGCATAATCTGTTCAGCACATGGAGGTGTGAGTGTGAGAGAATGTAACTAGCGTACGCTGATGTGGAGATAAGCTCGAGAAAACAGCGCACAGGAACACTGTCTTATCTGATTTTTCCCTCAAAGAAACCGCACAGCCTGAGGGACTATGCGGGGGTTCCCATAAACCACTGGGGGTTCCTCAAGCTCTAACCGACTGACTCTAATTCGCAGGCCTTATCTACGGTGCATCAGTTCCTTTCTGTTACAGATGTTAGCATGCATTTAAATGCTTCATTATTAAGTGGATAGTTCAGGCTGTAAAGTCTGACTGGCGCAGGCTCACAGCTGCTGTAAAATACACACTATGCACACATACGATTGCACACATCAGTGGAGATCTGTATTAAAGGGCCCACATCCTACATTATATTTTTCTCCTTCAGGCCCACTTACAACATTTCTGTGGTTTTATGTACGAAAAAGAAGTCTTAGTTAATTTTACATGAACATTTTCCAACCTTATCCTTTACAATTAAACAGGGTGTTTTTGTTACTGTAGGTTTAAGACTAATATATGTAAATATACACCAATCAAGCATAACATTATGATAACAGAACATTATCCTTGTTTCTACGCTCATTGTCCATTTTATCAGCTCCACTTACTATATAGGTGACTTTGTAGTTCTACAATTACAGACTGTAGTCCATCTGTTTCTCTGCATACTTTGTTAGCCACCTTTTACCCTGTTCTTCAGTGGTCACAACGCCCATGGACCCTCACAGAGCAGGTACTATTTGGGTGGTGGATCATTCTCAGCACTGCAGTAACACCGACGTGGTGGTGGTGTGTTAGTGTGTGTTGCACTGGCCTGAGTGGATCAGACACAGCAGTGCTGCTGGAGTTTTTAAACACTGTGTCCACTCACTGTCCACTCTATGAGACACTCCTATCTTGTCAGTCCACCTTGTAGATGTAAAGTCAGAGACGATAGCTCATCTGCTGCTGCACAGTTTGTGTTGGTCATCCTCTAGTCCTTCATCAGTGGTCACAGGACGCTGGTCACAGGACGCTGTTGGCTGGCTATTTTTGGTTGGTGGACTATTCTCAGCCCAGCAGTGACACTGAGGTGTTTATAACTCCAGCAGCTCTGCTGTGTCTGATCCACTCAGACCAGCACAACACACACTAACATGCCACCACCACATCAGTGTTACTGCAGTGCTGAGAATGATCCACCACCCAAATAGTACCTGCTCTGTGAGGGTCCATGGGGGACCTGACCACTGAAGAACAGGGTAAAAGGGGGCTAACAAAGTATGCAGAGAAACAGATGGACTACAGTCTGTAACTGTAGAACTACAAAGTGCTCCTATATAGTAAGTGGAGCTGATAAAATGGACAATGAGCGTAGAAACAAGGAGGCGGTCATAATATTATGCCTGATTGGTGTATCTGTTCTAATTGGCTGCTTTCTGTTGTGCATCATTCAAAAAGTAATCCAGCCTGAAACACTCCTTATAACTCCAACATGAATGGGTGGGGCTAAAGAGAACGTTTACATACTCTCCTTTAAGCCGCATGTTCTGTAGCCTTCAGTATCTTTGATACCGCACGTTAATTTAGCCCTCAGGTATGCAGGTGTTAAGAGGCACTTCTGAATGTGGGTCAATGGTGTGCAAACACTCACCTGCGATAATGTCGTCCATCTGCTCCAAGGCTGCCTCCAACATGTGACTCGCATCTGATGCCATTCTGCTTGATGACTACTGAACTACTGCATGGGGTGTGTAGTTTGGTTGAAGCCTGAAAAAAAGACAATGTAACTTTGAGCATTAGGGATGCAGGACATGGACATAAGATGCGATGTTTGATGAAGCTGTTTCATGTGATTCTGACTGTTTGTGCTGCAAGGGGGAGATAGAAATGTCACTAACCTCCCCATGAAGCAAAGAGCAACTTGCAAAATGAAATACAAAAAAATAAATACATAAATACAAAAGCACATTTCACTACTGTGCAAAAAAAACAATGAAATACTAATAGCTGCACAGAGAAATGCAAGCACATTTTGGTGCACTGCAAGAGTACTGCTCTTATGACGTATCAAAGGTTATTTGACTGCTAATGGTGCCCCCTAGTGGAGAATCTGTAGCCTGCGAAACGTGAGTACCAGTGAAAAAGTATAGATTTGTACATTTTCATACCCTATTTTTTTAAAACATAACAATAAAATAAAAGGCCTGGAGACGAGATGGGGTGTGTGGAGTCAATACACCTTAGAAAATGTAATTTCAATGGATTATAGTTCAATTATGTTCCCTGAATAAAGCTACTGAGATGTACCCTTGAGGGTCCCTCCCCAGTGACAAGAGGCAACTAATTTAGTAGTCGATTAGTTGGTGACGTTGTTACGCGTCTTTCTCGCGCTCACTACGAGTGTTTTCACATTACCGCTTAGTGGAGACTTAACAGCAGCGCGATGGCAGCCTCAACAACAAAATCCTCTAAAGCGTGGAGCTAAACTCAGGAAAAAGGTTCTCAGTTGTGCTATTTGTAAAGCCGACCTTAGCTGGCACAGAGCACATCGTCCATGATGGAGCATCTGAAGAGGAAACTCTTCGGCTCAGTGGGTGAAGAAGATTAATCTCGGTAAGATACGCCGCGTCCCAAACCGCATACTAGCACACTAGATAGTGTGTACAAATAGCGCATATACCATTAGAAGTGCACTCATTAGTGTAGTGTGTGAAGTGCAGAAGTGTGTGGTTTGGGACGCGGCGACAGTTGTACTAGCGAGCTAGTTAGCTAATGCTAATGTTAAATTCCGTCTTCGTGTTGTGAACCGAGCTGTAACATCTATTTCGAAATGCTGTTCTCTGTCTTGTAGGATGTAGTTTCAGCAGTGTGGACAGACAGCAGAACGCACAGAGCACAGACTGCACTGTTTAGATTTAACATTTAAATTTAGATTGATTTTTTATTTACTTGATTAAAGAAAAACTGATTTAGTTTTGTTATATTTTATTGCTGCTACTTTGCACGTTCTTGGTTACAAATTTTGACAGGAAAAAAATGTTGGAGTTTTATTTTTTTATCTTTTGTTTTAGCAGGAAAGTTCACTAAAACAGTGAATTCTTGAATGTTGCTCATCTTTATTGTCTTCATTGTTAGTTAGCAAAAAACAACCTAAAGCTACATTTAAAAGCCAATAGCTACATAAAAGTTATTTGGTAATGTAGTGATTCATAATCCGAATAATCGATTATTCGTTTAAGTAATCGAACGATTATTCGACTATCAAATTAGTCGTTTGTTGCAGCCCTTATATATATATATATACACATATATACATATATATATATATATAATACATACACACACACATGCATTGCATTTCTCTGTCCCAATGTACGAACGTCATTAATGCATTAACAAGTATTGGATAATGGCATCAGCCCACAACTCCCTAATCCCTAGTGTAAATACATATGAAATAACAGTTGTAAGTTGTAAAAGTTTGGGCATCCCTGAGAGAAAATAATAGTTTATGCATTAACAGTAATAATATTTTTCCAATATGTTAAACTCAGCAAATAAATAAAACGGTTGCACCAAACTTTGCAGAAGAATGCCATATTTGTGTGTTCTGTGTAGAGGATGTGTTAACTTATTTTCACGGAGAAAATCAACAGAACATGTCATTGTCTATAGGGTATTCAAACATGTGCATATGACTGTACATGAATAGACATGAATGCATATAAATGAACGGTATACATGTATATATATATAAAAACACAGTATGTTGCGGTCAAGTGAATATGTGATACTACAGTTGCTGTACATCGGTCATCATGATGACTTCACTTTACATATTCTTCCTTGGGACAGGCAGCATTTACAGCTAAATTAATGAAATAAAACTCTTGCCCTTCCCACAGGGCTGCATTCCAAGGGCATCGTCAAACTAACGGCTGGAAAAGAAAGAAAGACAGACCACTTCGTATAAAGTGCATATCATACACTTTTTTCATGCACATCATATTGCATGTGCATCATGCTGGTCTGAGCAAACCGGCTCCTGAAGGCTACCATGTACTGCTGTTCAGCCAGCTCTAACTTTTCGCCTTGTGAAATTACCCAGAGCACATGAGCTCTCTCTCTTTCTTTCTCTGTCATCCCTCTCTTCATCTTCCTCTCTCTCAGCAGAGGAGGAACCTGAGATTAATTAGGCCTGCCAGGGTAGAGTTTCAAGCCTTTGTCATGCTGCCTCACAGCACGCGCTGGCCACACACAAATACTTCTGACATGCAGCCTTTAGCTTTATTCTTAGTATGTAGAGATGGATGCAGAAACATCTACTGCAGTCTACTGGATCCTATCTAGAGAACTGAAATGTAAGATCTTGAATGCATAAATGAATGATGGTAAAGTAGTGGTGTAAATGGAAAAAAATCTTTAGGGACTATTTATCTCCCCGCATGTATGTCTCCACAATGAATGTGTTTCAGAAAATACATTTAAGGTCAAAATCTTGTCTCAAATATATATAACAATGTCTCAGCAGCATATTCACAACTTCATGTAACTGTCTTTGAGGGAGCTTATAGAGGCATTAAACTCTTTAGACGTCTGGTTCCTATCACTACCACTGTGAACAGTTCTTACTTGTTAAGTTTCCCTAGAATGGAGCATTTCACCCCAAACCACAATGATTGACTTTGTTTACATCTTAACTATACAATCATGTAAATTTAATTAAGAACTGAATTATGATTTGAAAAATCTGTGGATTCCTCTTAAATGGTAAACACAAACAACCTTTTAACCTTTCACTTCGCATTTGGTTTTACAGTTGCATGCAAAAGTTTGAACACCACCAGCGAAATTATATGTTTTGTTGATTTTCTCAGTGAAATTTAACTCTTCTGAAACTAAAACTGCAGATTTTTGATATAAACCTCTGCATAGGACACATTTTATGTTATCCGCCCAGCATGTTAAAGCAACACTATGTAGGATTTGGGGATTTGGAGAAATATGTAATTGCATGCAACGTGCGTAAGAACATTTTGTAACATTGGTAGTGCTTCAGACCCCCGCAAGTGGATGAACTTGAATTTAATGAATTAGGTGAAAGAGTATTCAAAGAGAACTCAGTCAAAACTTGGTGAAGGATGTTTCTTCTGAGTATGTGGGTGAATTATCTACTACTGTCTTCATATCTTCATCAGTATAATGTTGATAATGCATTTGAGACCTAAACGTTGAGCCAAACCTTCTTTTATGAGCCTTTGCGTGTAACATTAAAAACTTATGTGTGTAAAAACGTAAAAGCATGTAAAAATGTATGACGTCGTGAAAAACACCCGCCAAACCTAACCCGAAACCTCTTAAATTATTATTTCAGGCTTTACAGGGCGACATGCAGCAGCACATGCTCTATTTTAGTGTGTTCTTTTTCCCCAAACTCATTAATGCTACTTACTTTATATATATATATATATATAATATATATATATATAAATATATATATATATATATATATACTGCTATAAATACAGCAAATAAACTGTAATTGTACAATTAGAGAGGATGTCTTAACCCCTTATTACATTATTAAGGCTTATTATTCAGTAACTACAGGGACTTCAGTGTAACTTGGCTGAGCTATTCTTAGGTTATAGAAGTGTGCATTAAAGCATTGGGCCTGCTGTTTGGCTCTGGCCATTTTAGACATTGAAAACATTTTGACTAGCCAGTGTTCTGGTTCTTTAATCGAATGTCAATGCGTGACAATTTTGGGATGATTGCGTTCGACCAATCAAAAGTCTGCACCATTTCTAGCTCCACCCATACAGCATGGACACACGGGTATGGTGTAAAAACTGCCTAGCAAAACAAAAACCAACATCTACTGGCAGATTTTGATCAACCTGGAACCAACGTTATAATTCAATGTGACACAGCTGCACATGAGTGTGGAGCTGTAGATGGAGCACTGATGACAGTGAGTGAGAGAGAGAGAGAGAGAGAGATAACAGGCACCACTGCTTTAATGATCCGGTCGGATTTAGCTCCACTTGACCGAGAGCGAGGCTCCATTCATGGCTGCTGAAGCTTCTCTGCTCTCAACAAAGCCAACCGTAGCAATACAGTCACAAACTGAAAGGTCTAAATAAAAGCTTTTAGTTAAATGGCAGTAAGAGACGGATACAGCATGGCACAGTTCATTAACAGAGCCTAATGCCTTCGTTAATGCCACAATGACACAGGGTTATTCAGCTCAACCCCCAGCACTGTGAACACAGCCCTCCGTGACATTCAAGAAGAGAGAGGGTGCACACGCTTTGTGTCATACTGTGTCTGGTCTGAAGAACTCAAATCCGAACAGATAAAACTAATATTTTTCCTACAATATATGTGTATTTATAGTAATATATGATATGCAATTAGAAGACACAGCTTTTCATTTTTATATAAATGAGCATTTTTGTCGGTTTGCAATTACTAAGACAGGTTAGAGCCCAAACCAGGGCTCAGCAACCCAAATGATAAGAAGAGCTATTTTGTCCTCTTCACAAAAATCAAATCACTTTGGGAGCCACAAAATTGTCCATTTTATTAAAGTAACATTTTACCATCTTAGCTGTAAAATGTCTCAGAATGTGCTGATGTCCTAGTATAGGCTAAAGAATATAATATAAACGAAAATGCAGACTATAGCCACTTTTCTCACATCTCCAGCAGGAAACTTCTCCACAGAAGTAGAATAGTTTCTCTGAGGCTGAAGTCAGCTTCTCATTCGCCAGCTTCTTGTTCGAATTTTCCTCTTACACCTTAAATGTATGTATGAATGAAAATGAATGTAACTGCTGCACCATTTAAGGTGGATCGGGAAAATTCAAACAAGTAGTTGGTGAACGAGAAACTGACTTCAGCTTCACGACTTTTTAGTGTTTGACAGTTTCTCATTGCAGATTAAACATGTCAAGAAACCACCTGAGTGCTTATAAATGCAAACGAGTCCATTCGTCTCAAAATGATCTATGTTTGTCTTAAATCTTAAATCTAAATCTTAATCTTAATCCTAAAAATCTAATTCAGCTGTGGAGCCACAACAGGTCAGTAAAAGAGCTGCATGTGGCGTTGCCGACCGATGGCCGAAACAATACGACACGTGTCATATTAGTGATAGTGCCACCCATTATTATTATATTACCCATGTTAATTTAGCTCCCTGCCTTATTGTGTGTTGTGCCTGTAAAGGAGAATAAATATGGATATTTAAAACACAGCTTTGGTTCCTGACGTCTCTATGTACTTGAGATTTGTTATAAGGGAATTCCACCAATAGATGCAAACACAGTCATTCAGAGTAGTTCATTATAGATAATCGAACTGTGTCAGATTTATTTGCAGTGGTGGTGACAGGAACCAGACGTCTGAAGAGTTGAATGCCTCTAAAGGCTCCCTCACAGAAAGTTATACGAATAAAGTGGTTATGAGTAAGATGCCTGAGATTTTGTTTAACAATGGTTTTGAGATCAGATTTTGGTCTAAAATGTATTTTCTAAAACACATTCATTATTGAGAAGTGCATGCAGGGTGTTATAAGGCCAAATAGTCCCCTAAAGAAAACTTTTTTTCAGTTTTTCAATTACCTCACAGAAATTATTACATGAATGGTTATGAGTGCGCTGTCTGATGCCTGAGACATTGTTTTGTGATAGCTTGGATATAAACTTTCTCAGGCTCAAAAGTTTTTTTTTCATTCCATTCATGGCGGAGGGATACATGAAGGGTGTGAAAAAGTCAAATAGAGCCCAAAGAAAGATTCAGATTTACCACTATTTTACCATCATCAACTTAGAAGACACGTGTAGGTTCACTGGTGATTCTGAATAGCAATATCTGTGTCGTAGACATGGCGACCCCTGGTTCCTATCACCACCACTGTAAAGAAATGAGAGTCTGTAATCTTCTCTACAATGAACCATTTCACATCAAACCACTCTGAATTACTTACTTTACAACTCAAAGATTGAATTATACAGAAAAGAGAGCAGTTAAAATGTAAAATCACAATGTTTTTTTTATTTTTTCATCATATTTATTCTAATTGTAGTGTAAGACTTTTGTGAAGTGCTGTATGATTGATTGCGGTCTATAAATGCAGCGTCCTGTACAGTGAAAGTACAGATTTACCTGCTGTTTGTTACTTTGTGGTGTGTCACACCGTGGGAAAGAGACACGCCCTACGTTTCGGTTCCCACTCAAACCCAACCCGACAAGTTCTGCCGCCTCTTCCTTTGACCTTATTCGCTTAATGACTGTGGCGAAGGCGAAACAGATCAGTCCAGAAATACACCTTGTGCCGCTCTCAGTGTCACTCAGCAGAATGGGCGACACTGCACCGCACCGCAGGCTACTGCTGTCAACAAAGAGGCTCAGACCACCAAAGACGGCCGCTTCACTCCACCGCCCCTTCCCACAAATAGCCCCGTCTTATCTGACCGAGATATCCACAGTGCGGGGAATTTTTGAACCACGTCTGCCCACAAAAACATTTGCAGTGACAGTTAAACAAGCCCCAGTCATCTTAATTTCATAGCTTTCCGGTCTGGGGAAACACTCCAACCATCGTTTTTTGCAGAACTCTTTTATGGGTCAGCTTATATTTCACCACTGCGGAATAGCCTGCATTCAAATTCTGCTGCACCTGCGTCCGGTATTGTCCAGATTAGCCGGAGAGACGCAGACTTAAAGCAGCCTCCTGCACCGAAAGCACATTTCCAGCAGAAACTCAACACAGCTCAGCACTCGCCAGCAGAGAAACCAGAGCCAGAACAATGAGAACATATCTGAAAAGCAAACTGCAGTTTTTCTCCAAATCCTGCAAACACACACTAAGGCATCCCCCGGTTTGGCCATGCTGAGCCAACAACCAGAACATTTTTGAGGTCAGCAGTAAGAAAAAAGCTTTACCATCTTCTCAGGGAAGGCAGGCAGAAAGTGAAGTGGCCCATGAAGAACAGGTCGATTCCTTCAGGACACACGAGAAACCAACCAAGCACTAAGTCTCTGTCCTCGAAACATTGGGTTAAATCAGACTTCAGTTCTGAAACAAGCCCCACATAAACGATCGATATGTTATCTTGAGCGTTCCTGACCTTTAAGGTGATTCATCAGTTAAAATCAAACAGTTTCCCTCTTAACCCAAACGCAGTCAGCCAGCTCAGACATGTTTGGTGTCTGAGGTTTGCTTAAGTAGTTTTGCACTGGAGCAGCAGTCGAGTTGTCGACTGCCCTTATTCTAATAAACAATACAAAGTATGTGCTTTATAACAAATTATAACATCTTCCACTTCTGTAATAACAATTTATTCATTTTATTACACCTGTCTGATGTGTATTTGAAGATTCAGCGCTGCTCACTGAATTCTACACTCTTAAAGATGGTTTCAAGGGTTCTTTAGTAGAGAAAATGGCTCTATATAGAACCATTCTACATGGTTCTATATAGAACCATGAACACTCACAGAACCCTTTGTAGGATTAGGAGTTCTTTTCATCATGAAAGCGTTCTTCAGATTGATGAAAAATGTGCATTAATGTGCTATAAAAGGTTCTATATAGAACCTTTTTGAAAAGCGCTCTATATAGCACCCAAAATGGTTCTTCTATTGTTACAAGCTTGACACCATAACAACATAGGAACCCTTTTGATTCCAAAAAAGGTACCTTACTACAGTACATTCTCCATCAATGTGAACAACAATTTCATGATGCAAAGAACCCTTTAATCATGCAAAGGATTCTTTGTGCATTCATGGTTCTATATAGAACCATTTTCTTTACTGTAGAACCCTTGAAGCACCATCTTTTTTAAGAGTGTAGATCATTTATTGGTGCCTTTCAACATGTTACTATAATTAGCATTTTATTCCCCCTCAACAAAACTCTCCATTGCAGTAACTTTCAGAATATCAGACATGATAACACTCATCACCGTAACTGGCAGCACTGTCACTAAGTTAGCTACGCAGTTATTATCCTGGTGATTATTTATACATGTTTTTAATTAAAAATTAAGAGATTAATAAGAGTAGAAGCTCCAATTTTCTGTTTTATTAACTTCAAATCTACAAACTTGTTCATTTTTTTTTCTTTTAGCATTTTTTCCAGTTTTCTCCCCAGTTTGGTCATGTCCAACTCCACCTACTAGTTAGGTCTCCCCCAGTCACATGAGACTAGGATGCTGAGGGCTAGCACAAGCTTCCTCTGAGTCCTGTGAAGCCACCACATCTTTTCGACCTGCCGCTGACGCAAAGTTAGTGGGCAGCTGAACGAGCACAGTTCTGGCACATCGGCTAATAGAAGCCTGCACTGGCTAACATCGGGCTGAGTGATGGGGGGGGCATCCTACCCATCCAGAGAGAGCGAGGCCAAGTGCGCTCTTTTGGGGACCCCCGGCCAGGGACGGCAGTAGCATCACTGGGGGTCGAACTCTCAATCTCCGAACGACAGGGACTAATGCTTAGACGGTTGCACCACTCAGAAGCCCAAGTTGTTAATCGCGCATGAAGAACCCCTATAGTGTGTAGAGAGAGAAGGAAATATTGATGGTAGATATAAAGCATTATCATTTTAATCCAAAGGGGATGGAGGGGGAGGGGGTGGTCATTTAATAAAGGGGACATTTTTGTCTTTTTTTTGTTTTGTTTTTTTTACCAGGGTAATGGCCTCCCCTCACATCCCCCATCAAATCGAGCCCCCCTGCAAGGCTAGCCAGTAATAGAAGGCCACACCCCACCACTTAGCATCATGCAAACGGCACATCTAAATCATCACACACATCTCAAACTGCACTGAATTGTTAAGTAATCTCAAAACCAGATTTCAGCTCTACAGTAGGGCTGCAACAAACGACTAATTTGATAGTCGAATAATCGATCGATTACTGAAACGAATAATCGATTATTCGGATTATGAATCACTACAATACCAAAATTTAGCTTTAGGTTGTTTTATACATTTGCTAACTAACAATGAAGACAATAATGACGAACAACATTTAAGAATTCACTGTTTTAATGAACTTTCCTGCTAAAACAGAAGATAAAAAAATAAAACTCCAGTATTTTTCATGTCAAAATTTGTAACCAAGAACGTGCAAAGTAGCAGCAATAAAATAGAACAAAACTAAATCAGTTTTTCTTTAATCAAGTAAATAAAAAATCAATCTAAATTTAAATGTTAAATCTAAACAGTGCAGTCTGTGCTCTGTGCGTTCTGCTGTCTGTCCACACTGCTGAAACTACATCCTACAATCACAGGTCTTTACTGAAACGGAGGAAAGTCCGTTTGTCTCCGTGCTCCTGTGAGAGTCTCGCCCTCCTCTGAGAGCGGATATTCACCTGCAGAGGAGACTCTCTGATGGAGCGGATGGGAAAGTGGAGAATGTTTGTGGCGAACTTGTTCTGTTTGAACAGTTAAATTTGAAAGGTTTTGTGTAAACGCTGCATTTCAGCGGTAACCCTTTGGCCAGCTGCCCTGTGTGTTCACGGAGAACTACCTCCTTAAACTGTTAGCGAGTAGAGCTAAACGTTCACGCTCTCCTGTGTTCGCCCAATATGAACGCACCGGCGGCCTCGACGTTAAGACACCGATGCAGTGTTTAAAAGTGTAAACGTTACCTGGAAAGTGAACCGGGTCGCTGTGAATAATAGTTACATGCTTCTCTGTTTCAGCTCCATTAACGATTCCAGAGGACAGCATTTCGAAATAGATGTTACAGCTCGGTTCACAACACGAAGACGGAATTTAACATTAGCATTAGCTAACTAGCTCGCTAGCACAACTGTCGCCGCGTCCCAAACCACACACTTCTGCACTTCACATACTACACTAATGAGTGCACTTCTAATGGTATATGCGCTATTTGTACACACTATTTAGTGTGCTAGTATGCGGTTTGGGACGCGGCGTATCTTACCGAGATTAATCTTCTTCACCCACTGAGCCGAAGAGTTTCCTCTTCAGATACTCCAGTACGGAGGATGAGCTCCCACAGCCAGCTAACGTCGGCTACACAAATAGCACAACTGAGAACCTTTTTCCTGAGTTGAGCTCCACACTTTAGAGGATTTTGTTCTTGAGGCTGCCATCGCGCTGCTGTTAAGTCTCCACTAAGCGGTAATGTGAAAACACTCGTAGTGAGCGCGAGAAAGACGCGTAATGACGTTACCAACTAATCGACTACTAAATTAGTTGCGAACTAATTTGGTCGTCGATTTTAGTCGACTAAGTCGAATAATCGTTGCACCCCTACTCTACAGTGGTGGTGATTGGAACCAGGGGTCTAAATCCACCCAGTGAACCTACATGCGTCTTCTTTTATATTATATTTGCATGTGTTTTATATATGTTGATGGTGGTAAAACAGTGAAGAAACTGAAAAAAAAGTTTTTTTGGGGGACTGTTTGGCCTGCATGGTTTTAGAAAATACACTTTAGGCCAAAATCGTATCTCAAACCTATCAGTGTCTCCTCAGGAGGCATATTCATAACGATTTCATGTACTAACTTTCTGTGATGGAGCCTTTAGAGGCATTAAACTCTTCAGATAGCTGTTTCCTATCACTGCCACCATGAACAAGTTTGTCTAGAATGGTGCGTTTCGCATCAAACCACTCTGAATGAGTTTGTTAACAACTTTGGGATTTAATTACTCAGAAATTTGGAAAAATTGGTGGAATTCCCCTTTAAGGATTGAGCATACTCACAATATGCTAGAAAATTATATTGCGGCCTAACGTGACATATTATCACAGTAACTATAACTAATATTATATTACATTGCCCACTTCTAGATTCAAGGTAGCTGCTTCTACTGGTTTAACTATAAGTTACACTTTTGTCCAGTGAAAAACTAACAAAGCAAAGCTGAGACACCAAACATGACTGTATTTGAGGTAGGGGGAAAAACTTGACTATTCACTAAAGTATCACTTTAACTGCTCCTTGCTGCACAAAATGGGCTGGACAACTGCTGTAAAATGATTAAAGACTTCTGCTTATTAATGGACGCCACATGTAGGACAGTGTTGTAAGCACATTACTGAGCTCCAGCTCCCTGGATATGGTTTCCACACATCATGATCAACATCATTCATTTCAGAGGAGCTGATAAGGTTGAAAGTTTACAGGAATTCCTAAACAATGAAAGTTTTAATAGAATATTCCCCCATTTACTAGCAGGGATTCCCTTCAGAAAGCATTTAATGGGGCATGCTTTCCAATACTCGTAGGCCAGCTGGGCATTTCTCCTCAATTCCACGACGGTAAAATACCCTGAGTTCTCTTACTGTGCCACATTATTGCTTTAACTTTGCTCCATTCAACTGTAAATCCAGATTATTTTTATAACAGACTATCTTTCTGCAAAAATATGCCATAAAAAGCAAATTCTCCCCAACAACAAAGAGGTTAAGATGGTCAGAGCTTTCTGGATTATTTTTCCAGGAGTTGTTTGCTCAGCGAATTAAACCGGATCTCAAGGTCGCCCAGTGTGCTGGATATTATTCTATTCAAACTTTGGAGAGCTCACATTGCGATAATGAATAACAAATGATACTCTGTGCAGCCCGCACACCATTTATGATCCACACGTGAATGATCTCTTAATAAGAGGGGATAAGTGCGCTCTAGAAGACCCCCGGCCACAGATGCTACATTACACCACAAGCTCTCAGAAGTGAGTATTCATTTCACTTGTTCATGCCCCAACCTACATACTAAGCACTGTGGACTTCTATTACAGACGCGCCAACAATTTGAGAGGCAGCCTCATTCGTCCGAACAGCGCACTGACAACGCGCTGACTGATCGAAGGTAGAGTTACGGCCCTTTGTGGTGTTTATTTCTTACACAGGACAGACAAGTCTGAGCAATTGAGAAGTTAACAGGAAAAGCCTGTCTATCAGGGAGACGGTGAAAACAGTGCGCATGTTCAGAGGCCTTGTTAAAAAGGACAAAATTACTGCATAATTAAGTACATGTAGATTAATTCCTACAGAGTGGCTTTGATGTAAAATGTTTCA